AACATAGGCTGGTCCATGGGAAGGACAGGACCAGGCCTAGGACTATGTAGAGCTACAAAGATTCCCTAGTTTCCCCGGGAGGGGGAAACCCACCGAGCTAGGACTGACAAGGATGGGATTCCGGAGAATAGTGAAGTGCTGACGATATTTGCCAGTGGGCCTCTGGCCGAAGTAAGTCGTGGACTCTGGGCTGCACCTGGGCTGATGTACCTCTCTCTCTAATCGTAGCCCTATGCAACTAACAAGAACTGTGCCGTCATCCCACCCGGGGGTGGCTGAACGTATACTTTGTTCTGTTTATACCTTCAAGTAAAACCAACAAAAAGACTATCTGTGTGGACTGGTTCTTCTCCCTCCAACCTCTGAGAAGGTTCTACCGGAGTGTATGTTGGACTGTATCGTGGCTGTAACCATCTGAGGAGGGTAGGTGCGCAATGGGGCTATGCCTGACACAGGGTGCCGTTCATGGTGGTCTTTCTCCCTAAGGGGGAGAAAGCGCAGAAGACCGCAGAGGCGGTTGAAGCCATGAGGCCCTGTGTACGCAGTACTACGTGTGGAGTGTTTGCACGAGGCCAAGGCCGTGGCCCCTGACCGTGGGGTGTCTGGTTTCAAGTTGCATGCACGGGGTTACCCAGCCAACCCAAAGGGAACACACACGCAACACCCCAAGAGTGGACCCCGCCTACAAGCTAGTCTTACCACCACCAGGAAACAAAACTGATACACAACTTGGGGATTTTCTACCAATCTGAATGCAAATATAGAAGGTTTTTTTTCACAAATTTTAACACAAGTGATGAAGAAAACCTACCAGAAGAAATGATAAATAAGAGCTACAATGAATGTCTACAAAATGAATAAATCTTCATATATAAACAAAATGGGATTCCAGTATGTAACTACGATTCTATATTAGTTATCATTATGGGCCAGAGGAAGATAGAAAGTGACTGCTGCCAATATTCTACAACATTAGCAGACAAAACCACCATGTGCTTCAAGATGTCTACCTCCAAATTCTTTCATTCCAAATATCTTCTTTGGTGACAAAATCCTGAAATGTTTTCACATTGATAAGTGTCATTAAAAGAGAACTATTGGGTAACATTTTCCCCCATAGTTCTCTTCAGGGTCATGGGAGGACAAATACTAACCTCCTCCCGTGATGCAAAACTCAGTATGTAGCAAGCTATTGCACGCTATATACTGAGAGCGCCTCAGCCAGAAGAGATCCTGACAATACCATCGAGATCCACCCCCGTTGGGTGATTGACTGGAGTATCAGTGCTGGAGGATCGGAGAGGGGAGAATCTCTGCGGGGAGCGGTGACTGACAATCACCACTCTCTGCAGGGAGAGGATCGGGAAGTCAGCGGTCGGGGCATGTGTTCACTGACTTCCCGATCAATAGAGCCGACCTGTGACAGCTTTATTGTCACAGGTCGGCTTGAATTATGGGAATGGATATTTTTCACTTCCCTGGAGCCGACTGGACCTGGACCCGACTGGATCTGGACCCGACATTGACAAAGAAGCATCATACTACCTGGCCAACACTATGCTGAACCCTGGCATCATAGAGACAGCAAGTTATTTGATTGAGACGACCCTAGTGACGTATTACTTTATACCGGTATGTCTTCCTGATGATATAATTCCCTATAGCTGCCACCTGTCTAGTCTTTCCTGCCTCACAATACCAGTAAGAGGGCTGCTCTGTTGACTGTAAGGGTCACCTTACAGGGTTGCCATCTTCAAATCTTCAGTGAATTTTGGTAATTTGTTTGGGTGCTTAAACACGGGACTGGCCTTCCTTTTCTAAGACCCCTGTTAGTCAGTCTGCATAGTGACAATAACCTTGTCCCCTACCTGGTCATCCTGAGCCATCTCTTCACCTACCACACCTAAGGCATTACTTGCCTGCTTGGTTAGCAAGATATTTTTCTAACGGTTGTCAAATTCCCCCATTACTGCATTCAGCTCCTCCAGATCTCTACTGAGAGTTTCCAAACATGTTCACAACTAACAGAGGTAACTGTTGCTCCCGTGGTGCATATATGAGACCATCTACCACAAGCAGCAAAAACAACTCTACTGTTCCCATCCACTCCAAACACAAACCGCTTCTCAACTCAGCTCTGAAATCAATTATCCATGTAACGTAGGATCTCTATAGCAACAGCACAAGTACTTACAATGTAAAATGATCTCAAACTTACCAGGGGTCTTTCTTAGGTTAGGTTTTTAACTGAATTTGCGTTGGACTAAGGCCCACAATTTGTGTGCAGCTATAACGGAAACAGATATAAGACCCCTTTAAGAAGAACGCGAGTAGATCAAAATTATGGGGAAATCAAGTGACAGATAGCCAGTGACTGGAAAAAGGAAGGCCCAATAAGACAGAAATATTGTGTATAGTAGACGGTTGAAACGTGATTGAAAATCATCCTCGTGTTTAGATTATGTCTCATAATATAGAACATAGAATAGGTCACTTCCAATAGGTACAAAAGATGGTTTTGAAGATTGTGGTGGAACAGATGGAGGTGAGGTTGAGAAGGAAAGTACTTTCAAAATGAGATTTTTAATTTTTCATCTTAAAAAGTGTGTCACCCATGTCTGACGCAGAGAACTAAGCAGTCTCAAATATATATTTAATTGGCCAAAAGAGGAATCGCCTAAATCGTCATTTTCCTGCTTTTATATGTAGTCAACATAATCCAAAAGCCCAATAGTGATCTTGCCGGTTGGAATTGACCTCTGCTTGAAGAGAGCACAAAAATGAGCTTTATCCTGTTAGCTACCGTGTTTCCCCGAAAATAAGACACTGTCTTATATTTTTTTGGGCTCAAAAAAACACACTAGGTCTTATTTTTTTTCATGTACAACAATGCAAAGTTAATGCAAATCCAAAATAAATAATCCAAAATGACAGAGTTAAGAATAGGGTGATCAGGGCAAACCGTACCTTTCCAAGAGCAATTTGGTAACCAGAAAGGGAAAGTGCGCTTTGCTCAATCGATTCATCACAGGCGGAGTGCGTTTGGTATAACTCCGCCTGTGACAGGAGCCGGCGCTATAGAGGAAGCATCGGCTTATGCGGCTCTGCTCACTCCGCTGCCGCCTCGCTTCCTCTAGCGCTGGCTTCGTTGGCACAGTGACTCTCTCCCGTCCCTCCCACGGCTCTTCAAGTTCCCCCTTATGCCACCACCGTCCCTGGGAATGGTCACAACTAGGTCTTATTTTCGGGGTAGGTCTTATTTTCGGGGAAACAGGGTATTATCCCGGAGACGGGCTTTAAAAAGTCTGACAGGTTCACTTTTATCATGTTACTGCTCCGGCATTGCCAACATTTTTTTCAAACCCCAATTAATGATAAGTCGTCTTCCCTCGCCAGTAGAAAATGTTGGTAAACAGTCACATTCTTCTGCATTCCACTGAACATAACCAAGAAATAAAGGATCTGGTGGATTTCTTTGCAAAAAAAAAAATTGATGGTTTGCGACATTTGTAATGACCATATCCTGCAAACAGCTAATGTCCAGGCCAGGGAAGCTTCTTCCAACAGTAAGACGACTCCAAATTTTAGGAGGCAAGAAAGAAAGAGAGAGAGAGAGAGGAAAAAAAGAAAGAGAGAGAAAAAAAAGAGAGAAAGAGATGAAACCTGGAAACAGCATTCAAAACCTGGACTGTCCGAGTGAGTCCCGGACAGGTGGCACCCTTATGTGCCATATGTATATCTTTTGTGGGCTAAAGGTGCAACTGCTTTGGGCCCCACAACAATGACTGGCCCCGAGGCAACTGCCCCTTTTGCCCCGCGTTAAAAACAGCCCTGTTTTACATCTGACATATTGATTCTGGGAATTCATCTGCCCACTTGGAACTGATGTGTGCCTTCTCATAAGAAATGTATCTATAGGACTAAACCATATGTGAAAAGCACAGGACATTTTAAATTGGAAAGAATACATGTGTATGGATGCAACCACATGGGACCCCAACAGAAGAGTCCCTGTCAGTGTACATTACTGACAGCACATTGGTAGGATCTTATACTACAGATTGGTGCTCAGTGCCGGGTCTGAATGACACAGAATTAGGATCAGAGAGAGTTCAATGGACTCTCTTTGCAATACAGAGGAGCAGCGTTTGTGGACACTGGCACTCAGGAGAGCTCTCATGTGATGGGTCATTATACCGCAATGCAGAGCGCCAGCTGTAGATGTCATGTCGGGTTATTTTGTCACCTGATGGCGTCGGTCCTGTTTCTTGGGCTGCGTCTGTAGATCCAAGCCCCGCCTCCACAGTGACGCTGGGTTTGTTCACATCTGTATAATAAGCCAGTAACTCCACATCTCGCTCAAACTTGTGCCCCTCTGCCAGTGACACCTGAAAAGGTGAAATAACATTATAATAGGAAGCACATTTTAGAGCAACTTGGGATTTGTTGCTGCAGTATTCCATCATCTTCAGTATATAGGGGTGTGGGGTGACATGATGACTGCAAAATTATAACAATGGAGGTTTATTAAAAAGATGAACATGAATAAATTGCCATTTTCATTCACAAGATACATCGACTTGATGGTTTATTAACTGAGTATTCAACAAAAGAAATAACCCTTGATACTATTTTGAGTCCCGCTCACCTTGGCGCCGGTCTTGTCACTATCTGTATACTCCACAGGGGTGATGATACAGTTGGACTCGATCTTGGCGATGCCGTACACAGATTGGAAGTGAGCAATCAGACTCAGCGTGTACGGGATCCCACCAACCGGCACCTGCGGACGTGTGGCTGTTATGCTCACATCCTGATCTGGAAGAGACAATAAGGAAATCTCAGTGTCCAAAATACAGATCATTGAATGTCACTATTTCCCTGTAGGATAAGAAGAGAACCTTACCCGGTCTTCAGTCTTATCTAAGGTAAAATAGTGCTGACATGTAGATACACTGTATGTCTTCAAACTGATCCCTCTGTGGCTCCATGTGGAGCTCCTTGGATCCAGGCTATACATAAGTATTTGGTTTATACCCAAGTCATGTTTAATCCCCTCCTATCATTAAGCTCCACCCCTTGTCCTTCATCTGTCAGATACCCAAACCTCTACTGCCCGGATGACCAACCTACTGTGTGAGCCCCCCTGGCCCCCTGCTGCCATTCTTATCCTTATCTAGGCACGTTAGGCCAGTAATGGAAAATATTCTTTAGATTTGGTGCTAGAAGGAAAATGGCTTGTTAAATGTATTTCACACTGATTACTTTTTTCTGTGCTGTTCATCCCCAGGGCCGGATTTTCCACAAGGCCACCGAGGCCCGGCCTTGGGGCAGCAGGGAGTAGAGCGCAGCCACCGGACGGATAGCTTTTTTCTACATTTAGCCCTGCTTTGGGCAATTGAGGAACCCAGCCTTGTGGCAGCAGAGAGAGTAAATCCGGCCCAGTTCAGCCCTTTTCTCTTTTTTTTTTGCATTGATCTCCTGGAATGCAATATGTTGAGTGAAAAAATCAAATGTAGCACAAGTCACTTTTAAAAGAGCTGTAGGGAGCACAGATGTGGAAGCATTGATTTGTAAAGGGAATGTAATAGCAGAGATCTTTAGCAGTCTAATGTATCCAGAACCATGTTTCCAGTCTCCAACAACTCCTAAAGCCTGTCTCCTAGTCTCTGACCATCTCATGTAAAATGTCTGCAGTTTCTGACGGCTCTCTATAGCATTACATACAGTGATTATTACGTGCTTTCCTTTGGGTCATATCATGGCCTGAACTTGGGGCCCCCTATATTAAGAGTTGACCACTACATATCTACAGCACGCAGAAGTTCTGACTTTTGATGTGCATTGGCTGGGTATAGTGCCGGGATTACAATTTGGACAGAAGTCAAGTCCCGGGTACAGCATGGGCCTACACAGGAACTCTTTTGAAGACTAAGGGGGTTATTCACAAAAGGGTGAAGAGTTTGGAGAAGGCAGGAGAAGTGAACAATCTAGGCTACAATAACTGTACTGGAAAGTGAGCTGAATTGGAGAATTGTTCCAGTTCAGCTATGTTGTCCTAGATTGTTCACTTCTCCAACTCTTCACCCTTTTGTGAATAACCCTGTAAAAGTACTTGGTGTTGTTAACACTTTTACATTAGAAACATTGTCATCCAGGACAGGTTCATTATAGGTTTAGGGGTCCTTTCAGAAGAGAAGATCAAAGAATTACACTGAAATAAACTATTTGCACCTTTTGGGGTGTATCTCGGGTTGAGGACGTCCGGCAGCACAAAACGCACAGCTCCGTCCGCCTCCAATGGCAACTCCCGGACGTATTTCAGGGTGATCTCAGCTTCCTGGCCGGGAGGGAGATTCCCAACACTGCAGCTAAAGATGTCTGCCGAGCTCTCATCTTCCTCCAGGAGGAAGGCTTGCTCGCCCCGGCTGATGGCCTCATCATAGGTTTTGTGAGCCTGGAGAAGAGAGGGAGAAGAAGCAAACTTGTTACTGTCAGAGTTTTACAAACGTTTAGAGCTGTGAATATGACGTCTATACAATTCCATTTCAGTTTCTGAAGCTGTGCAGTCGGCTGAAATGCAGATTAGCTGATCTCTTAATCAAAGAGGAATTACTGTATATGTTGTGTGTCTACTATGTTTTAAGATCATTGGAGGACAGTGGGGTGTATATGACCTGACCATTGCATCATCACGACTGATTGGTCATTGGGAACACACCTTTTTGCTCTCGATTCAGACCAGTTCAGTTTTGTCATGCTGAGAAGGAGTGGCCTTTTTTGGATAGAGCAAAATGGACAGGAATTAGTTTATGGGATTGGAAAGAGGTTAGAACCTTTAATATATTTTAAGATTCTGTAGGTGTCTCCTTTAGGATGGAGGTTTCCTTTCCCTTCCCTTGTTCTTTCAGACCCCGCCAAAGGTGAAAGGAAAACTCCCCAAAGACACCACAGAAAGAAATTCAAGCTTGCCAGAGGTTCTAACCTTTCTGTACTCAACCAAACTTCACCACACGTCTTGGTCTATCTGACAAGAGCTCTGCTTGGCTGCCTCTGTCAGAACAGTCAATTACACCATTAGTCTCACAGAGAGTCTCAAATGTTGTTTAATGGCAGTCTTAGAAGGTCCAATGGACATTGGATTCTGCTTCAACCTAAAATAAGCCCACCACCCCTACACCTCCTGTCCCCCTGCCCCTAAAACTAACTCTTTAGTTATTCACTAAAACTAACATAACCCCTATGGTATAAAAAACCTCATACTCTGTGTGTAAGTCAAGAGTGCCACCACAATATCTAACAGCATTGAAATCTACTGATCAGTCTATGATGTGCAGCATCTACCTCCTCCACCCTCCTGCCTTATGGCTTTACTTGTGTTACCAAATTCTATCTATCTCTGCTTTCTGCTTCTATTCTCCCCTAAAATAGGATGGAAGTAACAGTCAATTCCTGTCTGTGACTATTAATCATAAGACATGATAGACATCTGCAGATCAGTAGATAATTCGGCCAAACTGGTGACCACACGTTCTATATCTCATCTTCAAAACAACAAATGTCATGCAGAGCTTTACAGAGATAGCAATAAAGTGCACTTGTATTGTTAGTAAATATACACGGTTTGGTGGGTAGGGAAAGTTCCTCCTTTTCTTCAATACTGAGAGTTTTAGTGTATCAGTTAAGATTACAAAATGACCACCCGAAAAGCTGGACACCAAGTCCATATCAAGACATCATGCTGCCTAGGCACACCTTGATATTTATACCCAGTATAAGCTCCACCCCCTTGTATCATGTGATTATCTCCTTGAAAATGTGCTGCTAGTGGCAGTGTGCTGTCATGATGGGTACAAAATGATTTAAAATTAATTCTAGTCAAAATTAAGAAACTTTACATTTACATTTATTAGAAAAAATACACAATGAACGGTGCCAACAACACTGTGGTATAGGCACCCAGTGCCTGTAAGGGTGTATGTTAGTGTTGATAACGATCCCTGTGTCTCTGTGAAATGTGTTTGATCCCAGCTCCAGGCTGTACATGGGACCTCTACTATGTAAAAATTAAGCCCTGTTCCAGATAAGTCTAGGCCAGGGATCCATGGGGGCTCCACAAGGACGCATGCACTGACATGAAAGGCAGAGGGTGACCCAATGGTTTTACTAAAGGTTGAAAAATGCATAAATTCCCAATTTAATGAAAAGACTGGGAATGTATGTCTGAAGTGAACATTTAATATGTCATAATGTGTCCGTCTCATAATCCTTATTACCTGCTCCTTCTCCTGCAGGTCGGCTACAATCGTCTTCCCCTCTGTTGTGGCCTCAAAGCTGTAGACGGCGGAGTCTTCATCCATGGGGAAGACAAAGACCGCTTCCACCGCCTTCTCCTCCTTGTTCTTATACTTGAGAGTGGCCGATACATCCGCCACAAAGCCTTTCACCTGGACGTCCACCGAGATCCCCTGCAGAGGGACTGGACACACACACACACAGGAGAACGAGAAAATTAAATCTGGTGAACACATAGGAGACAGGTACCCTTTAAAAAATGCTCTTCAGTCAAACTGGGGACCAGACAAATATGGGAAACACATTTTCTACCTGTAAAGAGATGAGGAATTTCCAACTTAGCTCATCTAAATTTAGCAAGCTGTCACAAAGGGCAACCTACCACCCCCCGGCTTTTTTACTGAGTCAGTGAGGAGCAGCAGCAGCTCTCTCCTCCTGCCAGATGTTCCCTGCCAGCACATGTGCACTACAGAAGAGCCACATTGACTTAGAGCGATGGCCCTCACTAACCTGGTCTGAGAGCTGCTGTCATGGAGTGACACACAGGGCTCAGCTGTCCGGGGACACTGCCATGATCCCTGATTTAAATGGTTCTGGTACCAACAGCACCACCATGATGGTAGACTTGGGGTGTGATGTAATACATGTGAGATGAACTCAAACTCACCATTAAGACTTGATGTCTGTCTGGTTGACTTATACACAAGGATGTTTTTTGCAGTCACTACCATGACAAGTGGAATATATTACATCCAAAGGGTTTTTAACCTTTATTTTTATATATTTTCTTCTTTCTTTACCACTAAAAATACTGAATCTCACAGTATGGTGGATGGGGGTGAGAGTTTAGATCCACCTGGAGCGGTTTATCTGAATATTGAAAGCAGAGGATCAGCATGACAGTCAGCTAACTAACATATGTAGACTGGGAAGTCACCATCTGCAGCCTCCATGTGTCACTCGGGAAAGGCTTCTTCATAAATCAGAGCTGGGGTCACTCATACTGTAACCTGCCGTTGCTTGTACACTCACCTGGCTGGCGGGAAGCCACGATGATAAGGCCACAACATGGAGGAAATGGCGGCATTATTGTAGATTATCTGAAGGGAAATAAAAGATATAACAAGTGTCAGATTTAATGGCTGCAGACTGAGTGACATAATCTAGTCTATCCCCAGGGCTCTCTTCCCCTCTCCTCCTCCTCCGCTTAGTGTTGGCTCTTAAAACTGGCATGCATCATTCAGCCTCGTGAGTCCTCTGCTGGGTAGGCAGGAAGTCAGTCAAAGACATCTTGGCCTTCCATACTTCCTGCTCTGGGTGCACGGGGCCTCCTTTACAGTACACAGCTAAATCCACAGCTGAATTACTAAAATGTCCTCCAATAGCACCCCAGCTCTCCAGCATGGAGTGCGAGTCACAGGGGTGTGGAATCCCTATCTCCTGATGCCCGGGACATGCAGTTCCGGTCGCCGGGCGGGTAGCTGTTTTCTACATTTAGCCCGGCTTTGGGCAAGCAGAGACAAATGTACAGCGGGGAAGTAACCGCTTGTTTTGTACAATTGATCTCAGTGATGTCGCCGAGATCACTTGTATGCAGCCTGCAGGTCTGCCATTCTCCATGGCGCGGAGAGGGGGGCGCATTGAAGAACATGGCCTTGGGGCAGCAGAGAGAGTAAATCCAGCCTTGGCCATGGGATCGCTACTTACACCTATTGTGGTGAACCTGTACATGGAGGAAGTAGAAAGCAAGGCCCTGACCACCTTCAAGGGAATTACACCCAGTCATTGGTTCAGATATGTGGATGACACTTGGGTTAATATTCACAAATAAGAGTTACCGGCTTTCACTGACCATATCAACTCGGTGGATCATAACATCAGGTTTATGCGGGAAGATGCAAAACAACAAACTGACTTTCTTGGACTGTTTAGTAGAAGAGGGAAGGAGGCTGGAGATAGAGGTCTACCGAAAACCGACACACATCAGTACCTGCTATTTGACTCCCACCACCATTTTAGACCAAAAAAACTGGGAGTCATCAGGACGGGCAGAGAAAATTCCCACCAGAACAGAGGACAAGACGAAGGAATTCAAACACCTCAGGGGGGGCCTTAAAACTTGCGGGTATCCAGACTGAGCTTTTGTCAAAACAGAAAGGAGAGGAAAGAACAGAACAGACGGAAGAATTTGGTCATCCCAGATGTAGCTGGGTGTCTGAGAAACTCAGAAGGGTTTTAAATAAACATCCCATCCCTGTCTGCTTTACACCCAGCAATACACTGAGGTGACAACTGGTTCAACCAAAAGACCCAACACCAAAACACAAGATGAACAACATTGTGTACAGGGCCGGTGCTAGGATTCTTACCTACACAGGCAAGGTGCATTTTTGCGCCCCCTTCCCCCCTCCCCTCCCCCATGTACGCAGTCCGGTGCTGAGAGGAGCGCTCAGAATTGTATGTCAGGGAAACAAAACAGCAGCTACACCAGCGCATGGCACAGCATAGAAGAGCCAAACCCTCTGGTCAGGATTCAGCAGTGTACCTACATCTAAAGGAAAAAGGTCACTCCTCTGAATACAATCAAGTACACATCTCAGACAGGGAGGAGGACGGGTTTAAAAGAGATGTGAAAGAGGCCATTTATGTAAAAATGGAGAAGCCAAGCTTGAATAGAGACTTATGTGGATTGGGGCAACATTCACCAAATGTATTCCCAGATAATTTTTGTACAAGTCATTCTGAATTGAGAACGCTGGTTGGATGACCAGTGAAATATCTTCAAGAAAATGACATCAAGTCCAGTTGCTTTGATTTATTTTTTTTACAGATATACTGTACCATGACCTGGATAAATGAGAACCTTCACAGACATAAAGGCGTACTCATCCTTTAAACTTTCTAACACTTTTTAGAAAACTGTTACAGGTAAAACATGCCCCATAATACAGCAATCACACCCCCACCCATGTGATATTGTAGTTGTAGGAGGAGTCACCCCCGAATTCTTATAGGTCTTGGACATTGTAGCAGGCTCTGCTCCTGTCCACCTATTTCTGTGAGTCTCCGCCCACCTTTGTGGGTTCCCGGCTCCTCCCATTACATTCTCTGTAATATCAAATAAATTATCTCACCCATAGAGTTCCACCGAGACATAAGAGACTGTCAGATGGTTTAACTCGCCAGTGTCTATCAAATCCTGAAATATTACTTGTGGGTGGACTGACCCTTTAATATGTGACTTGCACCCTGATTCCTATTTAACACTCGAACGCATTTTTTTTGTCTTTCATCTGTTTACACCGGTCCGTAGAAGGCCGTGCTGCTGCTTTTGCTGGCATGCTCCTCACTCCTGACCGTGACTCATATTTCTTGGCTCCCCTTCAATAACTGATATAAAACCTCCTTCTGATGAGTGTGATCCTTGTGATGGTACAATCAGAGAGCGATGCCGGCAGTGGGAATGGAATTTCCATCTCGGCTTCGGTCTCTGTTTGTTTTTATACAATTGAAGAGAAAATTAGAAAAGGAGCTTCAATGTGGAGATCATTGAGGCCTCACAAGGCAGGACATGCCCCGGTAATATTTATATGAAAAAGCTGTGAATGGGGGAGAGGGACAGCATTAGGGGCCAATCGGGTGTGTTGGATGGTCATGAGCTGGCCCGATATCATCGAAGGGCCACACGTCATATATAGTCTATGTAGTGCCAGAGCAAGCTGTCAGAGACTGCAGATATCCAAGTGAGGATGACCAGAGGCTTTAGACATACTACAGGAGATGTATGTGATGGTTCTCATTCTTCCAGGTCATGGTATATGTAGCCCTGTTTCGGGGGGGTCATGTGAGATGCCTGTCTCCGATCAACTAGCGCTGCCAACTTGTGGGTGACTCAGAAGTCCTGATCCTCCGCTAAGTGGGAGTATGGGACTGGATATATCTTTTAAATGTGTATTCCAGAAGTTGGAATAATAATGATGGATAGGTGTGCTGGAATACCCGAAAATGCTGGTAATAGAGTATAATCACTTCTTGTACAGATCCTAGTGGAAGGTCCATCATCTCCCTCTTGATAGGCCAGAAGTGTCTCCATTCCCACAAAGATTCCAGTGTATACTCTACTTCAGGACAGAGTGTAGCCTGGACCAGTGGAGGTTCCTGTGGTGACTCCAGTGTCTTCATGACCTCTGTTAACATGGGTTAGGTCCCTGCAGTGGATCCAGCAAAATAAGATAGCACATGGCATTCCATGAGGTTAGGCCTTGAGCCGCCTAGCACCTGAGCACCAACCACCCAACAGGGGAGTGGCAGGAACAAGTCTCATCCAGTTCTGAGCATGCTCATGGGTTCTGTTATAGCTAATTCCTCCTACTATGATGTTTACTGCACTGATTGGCCACCACAGAACCACAGTCACATGATGCCACTCCAGCACAGTACTCTGTCACACCAAAGTCTGGTGGATGAAGCACATGGACAGCACATGAGCACACACTACTGGCGGAAAGTAATAACTAAATTGAAAACCTGAACATACTGCTTTATTACAGGGGGTGTTGGGGGGTAGACCCCTACATTTATCTTTAAAAAATAAATCAAGGCCACATGAGACCTGAGGACCACAGGTTGGACCCCAGGCCTCCACCATCTCCCCTCTCAGGGTGGCAGCTCTAATAAGATAGACAGTAATAGTACAGTTTGATTTCTGCTCACACGTCAGGCCATGAACACATATGTGCGTTATAATTAAAGGAGAACTATGGGGTCAGTGTTTTTCCCCATAGTTCTCCTTGGGGTAACGGGAGGACACAAACTAGCGTCCTCCCGTTACCCTAAGCTCAGTATACCGCTTAGGGTAGACTTAGATGACGGGATCCGCCCAGCTGCGTGAGTGACAGCTGGCTCTCCCCATCTAGAGGCAGAGCCAGCTGTACCCGCCCCCTCCCCCCGTCCGTTCCGCCAGTCAGCGCTGGCAGATCGGAGCGGGGAGAGGGGAATCCAGCCCCTCCCCCTGTCACGGCAGAGAGCCGTGACAGGATCGAGAGGTGAGTGAACGCCGGTATGTGTTCGCTCACCTCCCGATCTACTGAGCCGACCTGTGACAGTCTCATTGTCACAGGTCGGCTTAGAACTATGAGGTGAGTGGAAATCACTCATGTCATAGTTCTCCTTTAATTGAAATTAATCGATGACATTTTTTTTCAATTAATCAAACACGAAAATTTTTATCATTACCAGCCCTACTTTTTTCACACTCACTTTTAGACTTGACATATAGGCATCTTATGTCCACAGTAGAGCTGGTAGCTGTCCCAGTTCCACGAACCCAAACCCTTCGTTCTTACACAAATTTCTCAGCCATTTGTTCACCTTCCCAGGGTCCCCCCGCCTCTTTGCTGTGGCTCATGGCACATGAATTATTTCAAAGAATACTACATTGGAGGACCTTTTCTTAAGCTTGATATTTAAAGGAGAACTATGAGGTGAGGGATTTCCACCCATCCTCATGGTTAGAGCCGACGTGTGACAATGAAACTGTCACAGCTCAGCTCTATCGATCAGGAGGTGAGAGAACACATACCGTCGCTTGCTCACTTCTTGATCATCTCCCTGCAGACAGCGGTGACTGTCACTCACGGCTCCCTGCAGGGATTTCCCCGCTCCGATCCTCCAGCGCTGACTGGCGGAACAGGCGGGGGAGGGGGCAGGCACAGCTGGCTCTGCCTCTAGATAGGCAGAGCCCGCGCTCACTCATACAGCTGGGTGGATCTTGACAGTAATGTTGGGATCCGTCCCGGCTGTGGCGCTCACAGTATATAGCGGGCAATAGCTTGCTATATATTGAGCTTTGGGTCACGGGAGGAGATTAGTATATGTCTTCCCGTGACCCTGAGGAGAACTATGGGGAAAAACACTGACCCCATAGTTCTCTTTTAAGCCCTGAAGCCATCTTTCCATTTGTACAATGATGTACCATGACAGCTGGACCCTCCCCAGCCCCTCCAAACAATATGTGCACCTCATCCACAATGTGTCCAACCCAATTGTCTTTGTATCAGATTACCCTGTCTGCCCCCCTAATGATTGAGTCCCCTACTAC